TTTTTTTTTTTTTCTTCCTTCCCTGTTGTTCTAATTGCTGGAGATGTTGGATTAATGGGCTGATTTTGGTTCTTCTCTTTTGATGTGTATGTTTATTGTTACAAATGGTCCTCTGAGCACTGCCTTTGCTGGGTCCCAAAGATTTTGTTTTCACTCCTGTTTGATTCAAAGAATTTTTTTATTTTTTCTGTTACCCACTTATTTTTAAGCAGAGTATTATTCAGTTTCTATGTACATTTCTCCTTGATCTTACTGTTGTTGATTTCCAGACAATGATTTGAGACAATGCTTTACAGTATTTTGATATTTTAAAATGTATTGAGGCTTGCTTTGTGGCTGGCCTATCATATAATCCATTCTGGAGAATGTTCCATGTGCACTGGAAAAGAATGTATATTGTGCTGTTGCTGGGTGAAGGGCATGCAAATGTCAGCCTCCACAACCTGAGATCAAAAGAACTAGATGGTACCCAGCTACCACTATCAACTGCTCTGAAAGGGATCACAATAGAAGGTCCTAGATAGAGTGGGAGAAAAATGTAGAACAAAACTCAAAAATCATAAATGATCAGGCTTATTCGTCTGATAGAGACTGGTGGAAACCCCAAGACTACGGCCCTTAGTTACCCTTCATTCCTGGAACTGAACTCACTCCCATGGCTCAAACTTTCAGCTAAACAGACAGGCCTATAAGGTGAACAATGACATCAGGGCAGTACGTACTTGCAGCATAGTGAATTATTTAATATGGCTTTTTCAGCCATGGTCTTTGTGACTCCCACCAGATGACTGGGTGGAACTATGCAAATGTGAGGTACTTGTGACCTACCAAGGGGATTGGATACCTTGTTAATAATGTGACCAAGGTGCATGGTACCCTTGGGGGTGGGACTATGCAAATAAGGTATGTGAAACCCAAATGTGGGGATTGGTCAGTTTTGCCATCTCACTAGGCTTAAAATGAACCATCCCAGAACCATCCCAAAGGGGAGAACCTCACTACCATAGAAAAAAAAGAGCCAGAAATGGAGTGCGTCCTTGGACCCAAGACCCCTGTGCTGAACCTACCTGGCTCAGGAAACAGAAAGAAAACAGTAACACTTTGCTTAGATGGTGAAAAGTAACAGCAGCAGGCTTCTGGACCCATGGAGTGAGAAAGGTGAGCTTCAGGCCAAGACTTATCAGAGAACTGGGGTTCTTCTAGGCATTTACTGGCAGAGCTAAAAGAGCTTTGTAACACTTGCCTGAGCAAGGCAGAGGCCAGGTCGAGGGACTAAGGGCCTGAGAGACCTGTCTTCAGGCATGGCTGAGTGGAGGCTATCCTTAGGAAGAACTATATCCTGAGCATTTCTGATCCTGAATTGTAACCTGTTACTTACCTAATAAACCCCATTCTAAGTGGCCACTGCTACAATATATCAAATCTAGTGAAGAAGTAGAGAGTGAAATAGAATGAATGATGTCAGAATTGATAAGAAGAGTGGAGGCATGTCTGACCTTCGCTTCACACGAATCTGCTTTGGGCTGTTGATGCTGAGGTTGATCCTCCTTCCCACCTGTGAAGTTAGAGGAGGTCAGACTCCATGACATTTTTACAGTGCTCCTTGGAACAATCAACCATATGAGATCAAAAAGGCAACATCTGCCCAGGGGTAGAGCTCAGAAGGAAGTAAAGGATAGGAAGAAGGCTAAATGAACACGATAAAAATAGGGAAGAAGTAGGAAGAATGCTGTTACATTGGGGGACTGCAATCAATGCCGCAAAACAAAATGTGTATAATTGTTAAATGGAAAATCAATTTGCTTTGTAAACTTTCATCTAGATCATAATGAAAAGTTAAAAAAAAAAAAAAGAGTGAATAGAGGGTGAATAGGCACTATGGAGAGACAACAACATGAACAGAGGCACAGAGGTATGAAAGGAAAGAGCAAGGCCCATGCAAAGAACTAGTGAATACTTCTGGGTGACTGGCGAAAGGAGGTTTGGAATCAGTTGTAAAGAACCCTGTCTGCCATGTCAAGGACTTTGGACTTTATCCTGCAGGCAGCAGAAAGTAATAAAAACTATTACACTGAAGAAGTGACACCATCAGATTATGTCTCATTTTTAAGATATTTGAGAGAAAGGTGATGAAAAATAAGAAATGTATGCAAAGGATATTTAA